TTGCTCAGTTACGGGTCCATACATCCTCCTCAGCCATTCTCTACCACGTATTTAACGTAATGTATGAAATACGAGTAACAGGAGGTTGGAGAGACCAGCATAATCATAAGCATTGTAACGTGTACTCCTCCTGAATGACCAAGTCTAGGAGGATGAGGAGCGCGGGGCATATAGCACGCACGGGAGAGAACTGCGTACAAGGTCTTGATGGGAAACGACGTTACCCCGGAAACTGGATATCCTTCATTGAAGGTTCGTTGCCTTGGAACGTCTTGTTGAATGAAGGTTCGTTGACTGGGAACGTCTTTTTATATGAAGGTTCATTGCCTGGGAACGTCTTGTTATATGAAGGTTCGTTGCCTGGGAACGTATTCATTCATTCATCAGTAATCTCTCAGACGACAGGTCTCTTCCAAAACAGTTCCTCCACTTAATGCGATCTCAACTTTCTCTTTCAAACAAAAATATCCTCTTCTGTCCCCAAGGTCATCCAGCATCTTCCTCGTCTTCTGGTCACTTCTATCCGCCCCTCCAGTTTAATCTTGCATACATGGTATCTCTGTTTTTGGAAAGAGACTATCCAGGAAAAGTGATAATGTGGTAGTTTTTCCATTTGCTTTCCACATCACAGTACAACAGCCGTTCAAACCACTCTGGTCACGCCTGTTGCTATACGAACTTGAACCATCTCGAGGATCATTTGCTCTGTGCTTCAAGTCGCTGCTGATGACGCTGCTTCCGGCATCAGTTTTTGGTTTTTGGTCCCTCTCTTCGTCTGATGCCTACCCTTTGACCTGTCCAGCAAGGGAGGCACTGCCAGTAGCTACGCTACCGCTGGTATAGCTCTCAGGGTCCTTGGCATACTCAAACCCCCTCACCACGATAAGGTAGAGACACCAACGTAGGGGGTTTGGCGGGGGGGGTAGGGGGTATGTATGAGGACCTCCGTCCTACTGCTTTACATTCCACTTATGGACAAGTCAGCACGTCTTTTCATATGAAGGTTAGTTCCCTGGGAACTAATTGTTGAATGAATTTTTGTTGCCAGTCAACGTCTTGTTATATGAAGGTTCGTTGCCTGGGAACGTATTGTTGAATGAATTTTTGTTGCCAGTCAACGTCTTGTTATATGAAGGTTCGTTGCCTGGGAACGTCTTGTTATATGAATGTTCGTTGCCTGGGAACGTCTTGTTGAATGAAGGTTCGTTGTCTGGGCCCTTCCTGTGAGGTAAGAAGTGATTTATTTATATATTATGTAGAAGAAATTCAGTCTTTAAAGGGTTAAACAAGGAATTAAAAGAACTTGGATTGTTGCGTTATAGCATTGCAACGGATTGGACGTTGAGAGTTTAAAAATGTTATAATGCCCACACATTTCTCTTTCCATTGTATTTAATGGCATCGAAAATAATTCAAATAAAGGTTGTAGACGTTAACGAGATATATGTTTCATACTTCTCTTGCCAGAGTGCCTCTGAATTGTTTAAACGGTTGTTTTCATTCTTCAAATGTCTGTCATCTGCGAGTATTACGTTCCTTAAATATTTATATTTGCATGATGTTTTGTATACTCCATCCGGTTTGAGAACGAGGTTGCGTCATCAGTCAGTGACGTATGCTATTACGTCATCAGTGGAAAGCAACCGGATCTATTTCAAACATATTTACGCATTCTTGCCCGGTGGGAGATTCAAACACACTTACAAAAGTCTTTTCTCACCTAGGTTGTCTGTACACAGTATGATGTAACCTGGTTCGTACAGGAGATGGGCTGTATTCTTTTTTGTGGGGCACAATGCTGAAAGCCAGAAGGTCGCGGGTTCGAGTCCTGATGATTTTTAAATTGACGTAAACCTTCCGAAGAGAGACGAAGTGACAGGAGGTTGGAGAAAACTGCATAATGAGGAGCTTCATAGCTTGTACGCTTTTCCAAGTGCAATTACAATGATCAAGTCAAGGAGGATGAGAGGGACAGGGCTTGTAGCACGAATGGGGAAAGAGGAATGCATGTAGGATATTGGTGGCAAAGCCGGAAAAATGGAGACCAGTGGGAAGACTAAGGCATAGGTGGGTGGACAATATTAAAATGGATATCAGAGAGATAGGATGGGAAGGTATGGATTGGATTGATCTGGCTCAGGATAAGGACCGCTGTAGGGCTGTTGTGAAAACTATAATGAACCTTCGTGTTCCATAAAATGCTTGGAACTTCTTGAGTAGCTGCACAATTGGCAGCTTCTCAAGAAGGGCTCAGCTCCATGAGTGAGTGAATCCTGCCAGCCCTGAGGCCGACTCGCGTAAGGGTGACAACCTTACCGCCATCTGTGAGCTTCTACTGCCTCTTACAGGGATAGCTTTACCGTTACCGTTTATGGTTCTGTGATGAGAATATGAAGGTTTTCAATAAACTTGGACAGGAGGCGTATGCTTCTGAGGTGCACAACAGGGGAATACTGGTCTAAAGAACCGCGCAATATGGCCGTCGCTGTTACCATGCGGTTGTAGCTTCCAATACGAAGGGAGGGCAAACGTACGGTATGGGGAGATATTCTAAACCTGTATTTGGTTTGTTAAAGAATTTCCGAGAAGGAATGGTCTCAAATGTTGTAAATAAGGTGGTATAGTGTATTAACTCAAGATATTCACACTGCATTGCGGCATCCATTGCAAAATGATAGTTAGCCTTGGGCAGCTAACCTGTTAGGAAATTAGAAGTAGGGAGGGTACCGCATCCTTGTTTTGTGTGTGGTACAGGTTTCATTACGTATTTGGTTCGATCAACACAAACACTTTATTACTACACAGTATACGCTATAATTTTCACTATATACTCGTATTTAGGGTTTCGACCGTCATCAGGTATTAATACAATTTTACATTTACACTCAGCTTATCTGCTGTTCTTTCTTATATTGGCCAATGTTTCTGTTTCCGGATATTTTTTTTCGTGTTGTATGCTGTGTGGTTTCTTTGTTAAAATCGGTATAATTAAAAATATTAAAATGGTAACGTTAAGATGCCAAAACTGTTGTCACCAAAAGCTTGCTTCAACATTTGGTGCGTTTCTGCAGCGGTTTTCCCAAGTTTAAAACAAAACTTTATACAGACACGCTGCTCTCTCAGGTCAGCCATCGCAAAACCGCAAACTCACGGAAACACAACAATGGAAATACGTTCACCAACAATAAACCCAACCACTCAACTCGACGCCGCTTGCCACACTGATTCAAGAAGGGTGTGTGTGGAGACATCTAGCGGTAGTTCGATGTACTCATAACCATTCTCGCGCAAAATTCAAATTTCGGGAACTTTTTGATAGCCCCACGTATTTTGAGCTCTGTATGTTTTGTAGATGTTGAATAACATGCTTTTTTTTTATTCTGCGTTTTACTGGTCGTTATATCTGCCTTCCTGTGTTATCTTGTGCTGGTGTTTTTTTTTTCTGTTATATACTCCACTGATCTGCGGATATGTGTTTCTGTGATGATGTGTTAAGTTATAGGCCGTTTTTCTTGTTATTTTGCTTGCTCCTGTAGGACTGACATTGTGTAGTGCTGTGCCTAGCGACATTTACGAAATCCTACCCTTGGACCCAAGTCCCCTTGAAGTTTTCCACCTAAATTTTAGCTTTTAATTTCTCGCCGCATCCCTCGCTCTACATATGAAGACTGTGTCATCCTTGGCATATTCGTCCTAGTAATATCATGACCGCCTTTTTGGTCTAGTGGTCAGAGTTCCTGGCTACAGATCCAGAGGTTCGAGGTTCCATTCCCGGCGCTACCAGATTTTCTGAGAAGTAGTGTGTCTGGAACGGGGTCCACGCAGCCTCATGAGGATAATTGAGGAGGAGCTATTTCAAGGAAATAGCGGCTCCGGTGTAGAAAACCGAAATTAACAGCCATGGGGATTCGTTGCGCAGACTACACGACACCCTCTATCTGCAAAAGTTGGGAGTAACTTCCTCGACAAGCGGCGGTTGCTCGGTCGGTATAGTTCACTTGCCGACTAAAGGCCATGGAATTTGTTTTTGTTTGTTTTTTTTAGTAATATCATGTGAAGTATTAGATCTTCGTTCTAATTTTCTGCAGCCTTCTTTTAGGCCTGCCACAACTCCTTCGGACGCAAACATTATTCTCAGGAAAGGTATGTATTCCTCTGCACTTAGCCTTATGTTACGATTTTTTAGCGTCAGTGTCCGAAGAACTCAGCACAGTACTGCGAAAAAAAGAACTGAATGTGCAGTAAACATATAAAAATGCGAAAAGCGCATTTCGACATTGTCTTGTATTACGGCAGAGAAAACTGTAGGGCCAATGACGTAGGTAGCGATGGGCATTCAGAGAGTATAGAGGGGCAGGGAAGTGAGACCTAATGTGCTACATTTTTTAAAAAAATTTTCTGTATATTACAAAGTAACCGCATTTTCTTGCTTTTAACGCGTGAAAGTTTTATTTCAGGTTTAAGATTTGGTCAGGACTTCTGGACACCGAAGTTTTTTTTTTCAGGATGGCTCGAATGTTACAAATGATCCACGTACAGTATAACACGTTTTATTTCCTTAATAATTTAATCAGTTCCATGACTTGTTTAGGATATGAACCGCCATTAAGCGCGTGTACGTAATATAGCACGAAAATCTCTCAAACTTTCAAGCGTTACTAAAGCTTTGCTTTACTTGCGTGTTAATTGTGTGTGACATCTGCCCGGTCATGTCCGCATGACCAAAACATGTCGTGGGATTGATTTATTCCTGATGAAATACTAACCTAACACACCGTAACACTTCACCGGGAAGTCTTATTAGTTGTTATATAATAAACTTTCTTACTATTAACTTTCCCTGCTGTCTCTTGTATTCCTTTACTTTTCTACGTGTTATCGAATGATATACATTGAGGCCGAAGATTGACGCCGTCTCTCACGAATAACACACACAAATATTCGTAAACCATCTTCGCTTAGCATACTACACTTCACATATCTACAATATCAATACTCACAGAATAGACATGATGCGTTGAGACAAAGACTGCTCGCTCGTTCGTGACATACAACTTCATGCAGAGTGTTAACACTCGTTGCTATGTTAATCCGAAATTTCGTAATGTCAGATCTTTCACCTCGCCGTTACGTTACTTTTGTATGTATGTAAAAGGAAAGTTTGTGTCATGGCGTGTATCAAGCTTCGTGTCCGTTTGCGCACAGAATGTTAGCAAACGTTAGCAAAGGTTTGCTAACATAGAAATGTCGTAAAGATGAAAATGCTCAGACCCAAGCAGCGGCGCTCACGAACAAACATTTTCATTAGTTTCTTGGGGTGGGGTGAGACTGAGTTCATTTCGTACGTCAGTAACTTGTTCCAGCCCCGGATGATAGATGATGAATGTGAAGCAGTCAGTGGAATGAGAATTGGCAGGGGAAACCGAAATACTCAGAGTAAACCTGCCACATTGCCCACCACAAATCCCGCATGACATGGGCTCGAACTCGGGCCGCCGCGGAGGGAAACCTGAGAGTAACCTCCCAAGCTATGGCATGGCCTAGTCGATACTTAAAAGGGATCGGCGTTTTACACGGCTCGTGTCTGTGATCAATGGAGACACCCCGAGCGTGCTGTTTTGTGACCAGCAACTGAAATCAAAACTTCAAAACATTGTTGAGGATATCCAACAAAAGTTTTTTAAAATGTACACTGTCTTCTACTCTCAAATCGGCCAGCAAATAGAGGCCATTTCTCTTTTTTAAAAATTGTGAAATCTGAAATTGATGTTTAGTGTCGATTATTTTTTTGTACAGTCCCACGTGCAACACTATGTTATATAAAATATATTAAAAGTTATTCACTGTTAGAGTTCAAAAGTACATCACTACACGTTACGACCAATGTGGCTAATATCCGGCGTTAAAATTTTTGGCGATGAAACTGCTGTCTTCTGTTGTTGCTTATGTTGTTAAATGTATAAGTCCCCTCGATGTTTATATGTTTTAGGTTGGTGGGTCGTGTTCTCTCTTGTTGTATATTGTGCTGCGTGTCTTCTTCGTCTTCTCTTGTTCCAGTAGTGAATACACGAGTGAACGTGCAGCATCTGAGTAGTTACTCAGATCGGTTCAGCAACAAGTGCTTGCAAATGTGAATCTTGGAGCCACGTTGCTTGAGGCTCGGTTCCGCTACAAGTGCTTGCTAATGTGAATCTTGGAGCTACGTTGCTTGAGGCTCGGTTCCGCTACAAGTGCTTGCTAATGTGAATCTTGGAGCTACGTTGCTTGAGGCTCGGTTCCGCTACAAGTGCTTGCTAATGTGAATCTTGGAGCTACGTTGCTTGAGGCTCGGTTCCGCTACAAGTGCTTGCTAATGTGAATCTAAGAAAGCGTCAGTATAGACTATAGACGTGCTGTTCTCGAATATTTGCAAACGTTTGCAAATTGTCTGCTTTGAAATATTTGTCACTGGATACTCGGGTTTACACAAACACAATGCAACATTCCTTCCCCTAGGCTATTACTTCAACGCGATGAGGAAGTTTGCGTGCTCTGGTCATCTGGAGAGCTATGCTAGCGGGAGCGTAAGGTCTTGGTAGGATCACCCATGCCAAACAGGTCGAAAAAATGCGCAAGATAAATGGTAGCCCCTGGACCTCAAGGTTGGAATTTGTCGGAAGTCTTCATCAAGTAAAACAATATGTGAAGAAACCTGATGACAAGTGACAGATGAGAGAAAAGTAGGTATCTTGTCGTAAAGAGGACCAGTGTTGTTACAGGTATGTGAAGGTAACGGGTAAGTGGATGAAACATAAACTCAGTTTAGAACAATCTGAACTGATGGCTAAGTTATATGTCATATAAATGATGGCGAAATGATGTTCAAATGCACATGCAAGGGCGTTATCCTGCAGAAATCTCGTTTTATTTGCAGTTTTGGGCCCATAACTTGTCTACTGGGACTGATCCTCAATGACGCTTCCTACCACAACGTATCCCCAACCTTTTTTCTCAAGTTCGTGTTGTTCGTGTTCGTGTTGCAAAATGCAATGTAGTTGTATACAGAGGAGATGGTATCCATCCACCACGCAATGAATATGTATGAAGGAGTGAAGATTAGCTCCACGCATTCCAGGCCTTTACTATATGGAACTGAGTGGTCAGCTGTTTATTACACGTGCTTACTACGCAGTATGGTTTGTGTACTGTTGAATAATTTTGCAACAAGAGAGTTGTATCTGTTACAAATGAACATCAAGGCCAGTTAAGGGGAAGTGCAAAATCGCAAATAACGCACTAGGAAACTAAATTTATCTTTCAACTCATATTTGAGGGCACAAGCCGGAAGGTCGCGTGTTCGATACCCGATGAAGTCATTGAATTATTCAGTTGACCTAATCTTTCCAGCCGCCCTATGGCCCTGGGGTCTACTCAGCCTCTAACAGAAATGAGAACCAGGAATCTTCCTGGGGGTAAAGTGCGGCCGGCCGTCGCTGAAGGCTGACAACCTCACCGCCATGTGTCAGCCGATTGTCTAGAAAATGTGGGAACCTCGACATCTCACAACTCCATGGGCCTCTATGGCCTGTTACAGGGATAGATTTACTCTTTTTACCTTTTGAACACGTCTTTTTTACGTAATTGCCCGCTGCATGTTCTGAAATAAAGTCGGAAAACTTTAAGCTCGTTATAATCGTTAGGCACCGTTGACAAAGTAAAAAGAATGCCACGTGTGGACGTCATGTCTGCCCGTCTTCTTATCTGTGACCTAGCGTCTGGTCCTATACTGTTGGGCGGAGTTTTGTTAAAATTTGATATGGGAGACTCTTATTTTAAGATGTTCGGGAGTTCAGATTTTCAGCCATTTTAGGCTGGGGCCACACGAGCGCACGAAGTACGTCCGTTGCAACGAACGTACTTTATGACGGACGTTGCTGAGGACACCACACAGTTGCAGAATGCGGTGCGTATTTTTTTTTGTCTACAATGGAGCCAGAAGAAAGCGTAGCATTCGGCTCTCTTGTTTATTTCTACAATGGACGGATTTTGTGCCCTCGTGTGGCCCCAGCCTTAATCTGCAATAAAGCCTAGTTTACGTGAGACCCATACGTAAGCCGTCTCACAGATTTTATTTAAACTGGATATGGAGGACTTCCAGATGTTTCTCTGCAATTTTAATTCTCGGTAAGGACTGATACATTGTAATTTTCGTAAGGGGAAGCGTGGGCTGTTTGATCTGCCCTACAAACCACCCCGTGGATTTTATTGAGATTCTACACTAAAGGATCCGTTCTTGTGCACTTCAATTTTTTCCAACGTTAAATAAGCACAGTAGACCTAAGCGAACACTACTGGCAGTTCTGTGTTCTGTTTTATCCTTTTCTGTGTTCAAATGTCTGTGAGCAAAATTTACGTGTTTGTAACGTAGGAATCGTGCAATGGGCAGCCCATACATAGGCCTTGTTTGTTCGATACAAATGTAGCACATGCAAACAACTGTGGGAACTGCCCACATTCAAGCAAACGTTACAATGATAACGCACGTATCGTTGCTAGGCAAAGCCTACAACAATACGGACAGCGATGTGTCTTCTATGCCGTCCGACGCAATGTCGTATAAGACGAAGATATATCGACTTTGACTTATTATGAAGAGAAGATAGAGAGGTGTGGGTGTTGCAAGCAGTAATATTGTTGGTACTATACTACTAGTCTTCAATTCTTCCAAGTTCGTGTGTGTATGTTATGCAACTATAATATACCAGTATATTATAGAACAGTTCAGCAAGTCGTTGTATCTTCATATAACGACATCGCACACAACCGTAAGTTTGTAAATTATAAAATGGTTGAAGATCAGCTGTAAAAAAAAAAAAAAAAAGACGCGTCCAGTGATACCGAAATTATTCTCGCCTAAGTATTTTCGTTGTGTAGATTAAAGTGGCCTCGCTGTTCTTGAGTCGAACTGAATCAATAGATCATATGTCTACCAGGGCGTGGATGTTTGTAGACGTTTCACATCGCTTCCCGTCGTCCTCACTCCACAATCCTTCCGAAGAAGGAATTCTACCGCAGATTATCCTGTCAACACGTCTTTAAGAATCCTGGTTATCGAACTCTAAGACAAAATGCTTTTAAAATAATTATAATATTCTGTTCTTATTTCCTGAAAGAAAGTCTACCAGTGACCGCAACGTTCAAAGATCTTACAGTCTTGGGGTCCAGGCGATAAGTTGGATCATTGGTTTTAATTCCTCTCTGGTTATGAATGTTCACGGTTTGATGTAGTATAATGTGTAGACTGCATAATGAGGAGCTTCATAACTTGTACTCTACTCCAAGTATAATTAGAATGATCAAGTGAAGGAGGATGAGGTGGGCAGGTCACGTAGGACGAATGGGGGAGAAGAGGAATGCATATAGGATATTTGTGGGAAAACGAGAAGGAAAGAGGCCACTGGGAAGATCAAGGCGTAGGTCGGTGGACAATATTAAAATGGATCTTAGAGAGACAGGATCGGATGGAATGAATTGGATTAATCTGGCTCAGGAAAGGTAGCAGTTGAGAGCTCTTGTGAATACGACAATGAACCTTCTGGTTCCATAAAATGTTTGGAAATCTTTGAGTAGCTGTACAACTGGAGTCTTCTCAAAAAGGGCTCGGCTCCACGGAGATAGTTTATATTGCTTGTTATTTGCGCGGGAGATGAACTTACGTCCATATGTTTATATCACCGTATAAAATTCCACATTCCCGATTCCAGCGGTTTATTAGTTAACTGTTTACATTCTACTCAGATGGGTGCAAAGATATTGCTCATACAGTACTTTCTTATCACCTTGACCACTGTTACCTTGAAAACTAAATTTGTAGAAACGATTCGATAGGCCATTGTTGGTTACTGAATACCGAACAACAGTGAAATTCGGCCGACCGATGAAACCGGTTTCGATAGAACTGTTTTTCCGCTTTTTGGTCTATATTGCTGGTGCTGTTATTTTGCTGATGATGCCACCTGCTGATTTTTATTCAGGTAGATGGTTTCCGTAAATTACTGAAATGTTATCAAAATTGTTGAAGCTGTTTTCGAGAAAATCACATTTTTTTTTTATTTATAATGTTCATATTCATCGGCCACCGGCCTATGCAGGACAATCCTGTGCTGCAGTAGTTCTGTGATTTTTCGAAACATACCTTCTCAATGTTTGACGATCTGTTTCTGTCAATGTTGATTTTCGCCCACTGTTCTTCTTCGCTGATGTTACCTTCCCATGATGCATCTTGTATGCCAACGTAACCATAGAAACGTTTGCTCTCGATATGCCTAATAATGTGTCAGATTTTGTCACAGGTGCTCCAGCGTTCTGTCATCTATCAAAATCGGAGAAGTGTTCCGTTTTCCCAGTCTTTCACACAGACTATCACTCAGCACAATCACTAATGCACTTACACGAGCACTACAGAGTGTAAACAAACAGAAAAAGGACATTTAGTGTTGCCAACTGAAGTTCTTTCAATGTAACCCTCACAAAGAAATTCTATTCCTTAATTTTTTAATGTTTCCATTTTTGGGGGGTTCAAGTCCCGATGAGGTCATTGGATTTTTTTAAATTGACCTAATCCTTCCAGCCGCACTATGGCCCTGGGGTCGACTCAGCTTCTAACAGAAATTAGTACCGGGAATTAATTAAATAATTTTCCTGGGGAGTAAAGCGCGGCCAGCGCGTAAGGCTGACAACCTTACCGCCATCGTTGAGCCGATTGTCTAGATAATGTGGTACCCTCAACGTCCCGCAACCCTATGGGCCTTCACGGCCTGTTACAAGGATAGCTTTACTTACTTCTTTCTTACTATTTTACCCCCTACATCCAGTAGTCATATGGCAGTGGGAAATTCACACATATTTTAGAGACGGCTTTTGTTCCATACATACATAGAATGACCCTGGTTCATAGTGTATATAGGCTTTTATGGAACGAGGTTGCGCAATAGTAAGGAAGGCGGTGTTTGTCCGTGTCGTGCCGAGCCGAAGCGGAAGCGAGGTCGTTGCTACGCAGCATTGCAATAAATATCTCTTGGCGGCATTGCCCAGCAACGCCTCTGTAAACACGGCGATTACGCAACAATGAAGCGAGGTGCGTTTTCCGCTGTCCGACTGAGGGTTTATAAGAGCAACCTGAATGCAAGGGCTCGACACCAAAACTTACTAACTGACTGACCGACCGTAAGTCGCAGTGTGACTTTGCCTTTGACTAAGGAAGTTCAGTTGAAGTCTAGCAGTTACGAGTTTTTGAGGTGTATTGAGTGAACGAAATCAAGACAGTTGAAGCTTGGAAGTGACTACAGCAGTAATTGGAATATTGAAGTTGTGAGTTGTGTAAGTGTGGAGATCCGTTGCTACGAAACGACTAGTGGAAGAGAAAAAACCCTAGTTCGTATTTAACGGCGAATTGAAGTGTATGTAAGTCAGCGATAGCGCTGTAATTTGAGTGTAATCGAGAGATTGCGGGGTACCAAGCTGTTAATAAATCCAATCATCCGAACTAGAACCCGTCATTTCGTCACGCGTACCCTCCTACACGTGACAAAACTATAGGCACTACTTTTATCAAGTATTACACATTTTTCTATTGTCATATCACATATACAGATGCATTTTTCATAGTTAGCAAAAATCATATGGTTTTTCTATGTAGTAGGTAAATACAATATCATCTGCATAGTTATGACTTCTCAGAATATTTTACAGGTACAACTTTCAAGCCTGATCAAACCAGAGATGAACTACATGGCACTGAGCCCTTCTTGAGAAATCTGTAATTGTACAGCTACTCAAGAATTTTCCAACATTTTATGGAACCCAAATGTTCATTACCATGTTCACAAGAGCCCTCCAGTGGTCCCATTTCTGAGCCAGATCAATTCAGTCCATACCCCCTCATCCTATCTCTGAGATACATTTTAATATTATCCACACACCTATCTCTTTGTCTTCCTAGTGGTCTCTTTCCTTCTGGCTTTTCCACCAATCTTCTATATGCATTCCTCCTCTCCCCCATTCTTGACATATACCCTGCACATTTAGTCCTCCTTGACTTAATCATTCAAACTAGAGATGAAAGTATCCAAAAATGTGAATGGAGGGACTGAGGAAAACTACAAGTTTTAAGGACCTGCCACGTAAGAAGCATGAATCTTAAAAAATATACTACAGCACTACCATTTCATAGTGTGTGGTGGACAAACTGGCACTGTGGCAGGTTTTATCCAGGTATTTAAGTTTCCCTGCCAATTCTCATTCCACCAACTGCTCTACATTCTTTAATGTGTCTATCAGTGATGCTGTATAGTCTTGTTACTGGTAAGGTCCTGAAATAACAGATGTAAAAAGAAAATCATTGTGTAACAATTGCAGCTTGAATTATTGACCATTGTGCTATGTCTTGAAAGTATTGGTGTGCTTATAGCATTGTGGCCTATTGTTTCAGACTGTTGTGTGTGCTCCAGGATTCTGTTTAGCAAAACGAATACAGAAGCATGCCTGCACGATTCCCAGAAGTAGAAGTACATGCCCCGGTGGGTGGACGTGGGACAGTTGAATCTCTGGAAGTAGGAGGTGCACCACGCGGCTGGGGAAGCGGTGATGATGATGTAGTTATTACTGGTTTATCTGGCCGGTTCCCAGAGAGCAGTAATGTAGAAGAGTTTGCAGAGCAGCTATTTGCTGGTGTTGACCTCATTACAGATGATGAACGAAGATGGCCTTCAGGTAAAGCTAAGAGGCTGGATACAGTTGATGGGAAATTTTTTTTAAGGACCTCTTTCGAAGATGTTTCAAAATATGACAATATTTGCCCTTATGGAGCCAAGACTGAAGTGACTAGCTACAGGTTTTCATGTCTGGGTTTGATTCCTGGTAGGGTCAAGGGCCTCCTCACCCAATCAGTCATCCCATTGTGTAAAATAACCTATGAAAAATAGTGTGCTGAAAATTGTCCCTGTTGTTAGTTACACATTCGTTGCACCTCTGTAAATGGTTCACATTCACACCTTGGAGTTTTGTTCGGAAGTAGAACAAGCTTGAAACCCAGTTTTCCTTTGTAAGGCATCCAAGAAGGAATTTTTTAGAAAAGTGTTCAAGGCCAGCACTGATCTCATGCACCTTCTGTTTGGTGAACACTTGGAAATTTGATTGTATTCTTTTTTTGTACACCGTGTGTGCGTATGTATCTAAATTTATTTAAATTATATGAACAGTCTTTTGTCTGGAACATAACATCCTGCAGCTTACGCCAGAATCTTTCCTTCCTGTTCACATGGGAATGTTATATGAACACACGTTCATGTAAGAATGCATCTCCACCGACAACATGAGAGTCAGTGAAAAAATAGGGTTACCTTAATGGAATTGTAAGATAAGCACACGTGTTTAGGAACACATATCTTTTTATAATGTGAGGGCATGCTATATCTAAAACATTTAATATGAGCATTCTTTGTGATTCAGCAGAGCCAACCATCCAGACACAGAACAGCATAATCATGTTTGTAGTTCAGAGTAGAGTTTGTATGTAATGGTGTTTGTTAACCTTTCACTGGAAAAATGTGGTTGGTTATAAATATATATAATATTCTAAACTCTTTCATATATTAGCATGTTGCTTGAAGAGGTGATATTACAAATTAGAGAACTGTTCTAAAATTGAAAAAGACGAATTTTGTCTGTTTGGTGATAAATATTGCAGATTGAGGATATAAACACTTTGAAGATTGGTCTAAAATTCTGTTTGCATTGGTGTGTATGCAGTTAAGAGACAGTACACTGAATCCAGTAAGAAGTATGACAGAGACCACAAACTGTGTAATGTAACAGTTCTCAACGTTTCCTGGCAATGGATAAACCAATACCGATCATTAATATATGCAGACACTTGCAGAATACAGACAGAAACTCAACCTGTTGACTTCAGAGTTGGAACAATTCTAGTGGTATTAAACTGGATGGAGTTGTAACTTGGTGTCTTTCTCTTTAGTGACTGAAGTTACAACTCTGTTCAGTTTAGTACTGTATGAGAATGTTCCAACTCATTTTGAATGGGATGAGTTTCTGGCTGTAATCTGCACGTATTTGTTGTAGGGTTCTTATGTTGGGAATTTTACTAAAATCTGTCACCATTATACGGTTTTGGCTAAAATTTGACAAGAGTAACATGCTTTACATGAAGACCCGGATGCTAGTTTTTTTTTTATGTATATAACAGTATTTCATTCCATCACCTGCTCTGTTAACAAGAACAAAACTATGGTTCCCATGGCAGCAAAGTCATGGCCATTCTGTTCATTAATGTCACAGCAGTTCATAGTCTCATAATTTAAACTTAATGATGCCCATTAAAAAAAATTAAACATCTAAACTGTGAGTTCATTTCATCATTTATTTCATTGACATCTGTGATTTAAAATGAATCATCTTTGTTCTTAAGCATGTCTATATTCGGTACCTTGGGTAACGTCTTATTTCAATATAGGAATTCTTGATTAACTGAACAACTGGTGGCATCTCAGGGACTTTTCTCTGTGAAGTTAGTTAGTTAGTTAATATAGAAAGAAAAGAAATAAAAAAGAACAGGATCTACAGTTTAGCTCGTGATGTTGTTACTGGAATACATCGTTCTGGATTATTTCAATGCAATCAGTTATGCTATGAATTCTGAAATGTCTGTCTACCACTGTACATGCCTGAAGACATGAGTAAATGTTTTGTTATTTTGTAGACTGATTCATGTTTGTGGATGATTGTATATGTTTGTTTTGAATGGAAATGATTAGCAAACTGGGACCAGGACAGTCTGTACAAAGCAAATCATCGTATGTATAATGGAATTCAGAATCTTTAAGCAAGGACTATAGAAATAATTATAATTTGGGTAATTTGCAAAAATTTTAGTAACGGTGACTTTTTACTTGGAAGTCAAATTGTGGGCAATTATGACTGATACCATTTAAGAGATAATCACAAGAGTTCCAAACCGTACTGTTCGTGGCATAATTACAAGAAGCATGACAGAGGCATTGAGGCCAACAAATTAGTTCACGATCTAAACAAACATGCCAACGACATTCATGATTATTGAGTTCAGCAATATTTGAAAGAGAATATAAATAACATATTGCAGCATTTTATGAACATAAGACACAGAAAATAAATCTGGACACTAAAAATTAATTGGACAGAACAGCAAAATGAAATATCTGAACGTGAGTCAAATATTATGTGTTCATATCCTGTCTTGTTTGAACTTGGTTCATTGGTTTCACCTTTAGTTTTAAGCTGGTTGCATGGACTCTGGAGACTGAGTCCAGTTTCTGAAGTGTTGTCTCAGATTAGTGCTGTGGATATTGTCCAAAAAGTTGATCATTGTATGGATAGATATTGCCATGAACGTTTAGAACTGTAGCAGCAACTTTGTTGCATAATCTAAGATACTGACTACTGAATAGTTTCTTCTGAAATTTTTTATTTCTTTTCCAGGTTTATATGGTTTGCCTACACGAACAGGTAAACTGAAAGATTTGGCCCACTTTGATGCACCCTTCTTTGGTGTTCATGCAAAACAGGCTCATGTAATGGACCCACAACTACGAATTCTGCTAGAAGTTACACATGAAGCGCTCATAGATGCAGGTCTGTATTATTGTGTGTGGGTAGTAATATGGTTGTTTAAAAAAATCTTCACTATCTTGTGACTTCTTGCTGTAGACAGAACCAGTAACAGCAGAGTCTTTCCTTCAAACTAAGGGACAGAATTGGAACTTCTGTCCACTTTGAGTGCAAGTCACCAAAGTCATATGTTCTTGTAGCTTTGACGCCTTCCATAATTGCTCAAAAATCTGTCATACCAGTAATTATTTAAACACTCTCCTAGCTTAACAGTCACACTCTCATATGTATAAATTGCTTTCATGGCCTATGCACCCAGAAGTGTTAATGTCTTCATTGTTTCCTAGTGGCTGCTGCTGAAATGTTAACCAAACTTCCTGTTGTGTTTATAAACCATACAGTATGTGACGACATTGTTTCCTTCACAGATGGGTTGTTCATACCAGATAATGGGCCTTGAAATGAAATGGTATAAGAAATATTTCTTTGTGAAATAATAGCGTAAAATCTGTTTTTGTGGTCTTATGGAATTTGGAGAAGACTAACCCAAGTAAAGGCTGCGCCATAGCTCAAGCGGTTAGTCGCTGGCTTCCCACTGCGGTGGTCTGGGTTCGATCCCGGGTCTGGTCAAATGGGATTTGTGGTGGACAAAGTGGCGTTGGGGTGGGTTTTCTCTGAGTACTTCAGTTTCCCCTGTCAATCTTCATTCCACCAAATTCTCCATCATCATAATCACCTGGGGCAGGTTACAATAGGCCAATCAGTGGCCGCCGTGTCAAGTGAAACCAGTTGGACTCCAACCCCCCCCCCACACACACACACACACACAGACACACTAAGCGAATTAAAAAGAACGAGTAAAAGTTAAATATTCCCTTAAAAATCTGATGCTGTGCTGAAGTTTCTTCAGTCTTATCTCTCGAAGACCATAATTACCGTTTATGTGTATGCATGCATACTCTGTCCAGTGACCTTTCGTGTGCAAATAATGTACTATATGTGAGCACTTGTGAGAAGGTGAATTTGATTGTGTGTACCATGCTGGCAGGCTTGAACCCATATGATGTGCGTGGCAGTAGGACAGGTGTTTTCATTGGAGTATCGGACAGTGAATCAGAAGAATATTGGACAGCTGACCCGGAGAAAGTGAATGGTTATGGATTGACGGGTTGCTGCCGTGCCATGTTCCCCAACAGGATATCGTACACATTCGACTTCACTGGTGAGCTCTACTGAAGTGAAATTTGTTTACATGAAGGCCTGTGATTATTGGATGCAGCGTGGTTCTAACTCGCCTTGGCATGTGCAAGCACACGCACAATGTTACAAATGAATAATTTTGTTGCTAGGAATTACAAGTGGCAATTTTACAAAACCACCAGCAGAGAATTATAGATAAAATCACCACTTATTATTCATAATTGCGAGTTGATCATTCTTACCATAACACACACACATATATATCTTGATAATACAATATTGGGCCTATTTTGTAACGTTTCGAGTACCTGGCAATCCGCCTGTATGGTAATAAAGGTAAAGTTATCCCTATACTAGGCTGTGGAGGCCTGTAAGTTTGTGAGATACCGAGGCTTCCACATTTTCTAGGCAGTTGAATCGCAGATAGCGGTGAGGTTGTCAGCCTTATGCGCCGGCCGGGCTTTACTCCCCAGAAAATTATTTAATTAATTCCTGGTACTCATTTCTGTTAAGAGGCTGAGTCAACCCCAGCGCCATAGTGCGGCTGGAAGGATTAGGTCAATTGAAAAAAATCCAATGACCTCATTGGGACTTGAACCCGCACATTGATGTGTCAGACTTAAATAACAGATGTAAAATGTGGAGCAGTTAAAATTACGCTTACGAGTATACTCAGTGTATGTACAGTACATGGCAGGTTGTTCTAAACACAGCAGTTCGAAAGCAGACACCTTTGGATCAGCATGTATGCAAGAGATGGTTATGAAACAACCATTATACTTACCTGTAAAACACATATGGTAGTGGCATGTAAACTGTGCATAAACCCACGAGTTTTCCTGATGTTATTTTAGTATTAATGTCTTGAAACAGAGAAATGTAAATGTGATCTCATTAAACTTAATACTGTAGAGCTGATTTAGCTTGGTACAGCAATTGGTTACCGCTGGATGGCAGGGGTTTGTTTCCTAGGAGGAGCAAGAGATTCTTCTTGTTTCCACAGCACCCAGAGCGGCTATGGGTCCCACCCAACCTCCTAACCAGTGGGTACCAGGGGTAAAGTGGCTGGGGCATGAAGCTGACTGCTCATATCCATCTAGTGCTGGGGTCAAGCATGGTGGAGCTATATCCGATATATTGTCATATCATGGTTTGCGTGACTAATAAGATAGGTTTTTGGGTTTGATGATCGAATTTATTAAACCTTTATACATCTCGTTACAACTGTTCACAAATCAGTATGTGACACACTGTCATGTTCTTCTGACTGAACACTACTGGAACTATTCTGACTTCCAACTGAACTACCCCATTGTACTCATTCAGTTCTCTCTTTGTTCTTCTGACTATACCTTCTTATAATTCCTCTGCATGAACCTCACAGAAAACACCATCTTCCATCATCAAGAATATGTGTTTTATTGGTCCATTACCTAGCGATGGATGCCCTTCTGTTGTTGAGAGCGTAACTTAAAAAATGTGTTTACTGAGCGCTTGCCTAACAACAGGCATGTGCAGCATAATATCTTCATGGCATGGCCTTTAATTAATTAAGCACAGGGACAACTTTGCATTTTTATCTTTAACTTAATATTTGAAACAGGTTTCATCTTGCAAAATAGTCCAGTGTGGAAATATGCAGGACCAATGGAAGTATCATGGACTGTAGCGCCTGCAGAAGAAGAAGAGAAGGCAGTATGACCCATCACATAAAACTAATGTTGTTGCAGGTCCAAGTTATGCTATCGACACGGCCTGCTCTTCTAGTATGTTTGCTATGCAACAGGCAGTAAATGCCATCCGAACAGGCCAGTGTGACTCAGCCGTTGTTGGAGGAGTGAAACTACTGCTGAAACCCACCTGCTCACTGCAATTTCACCGCCTTAATATGCTCAGTCCACAGGGCATGTGCAGAGCCTTTGACTCATCTGGTATGTTATGAAAATTGTGCTTGTTGAATACTAATTTCAGGTTAATGAATATATGTTAATGGAAACTGATTTGTATTTTTATAAAAGTATTAACTTGGTTTCTGACAGTATAATTGTAACTGTTACATATGTTAGTATCTGGTTAATCTTTCCAACAGCTGAGTTGCTTTACTTCCATTCCTCTAACTTAAGCTGATTTATCCTCTCATCCTGGAACTGCCCTCTTCTGTCAGGTTAATTATAATATATCAGTATATGTTGCTCTTCGACATTCATATCACAAGTATTCGTATCTTAGGCTGCGCCATAGCTCAAGCGGCTAGTCGCTGGCTTACTACTGTGGCGACACAGGTTTGATCCCGGGTCTGGTCAGGTGGGATTTGTGGTGGACAAAATGGTGCTGGGGCAGGTTTTCTCCGAGTACTTCGGTTTCTCCTGCCACTCTTCATTGTACCAGTTGCTGCACAATCACCCTCACCTATGCTGTGGGGCTGGTACGATAGGCCAGAAGTGGCCGCAGTACAAGGGACTTAGTCCCACCCCACTAGCAATAAAACAAATAAAAAATTTGTATCTTGGCATGGTATTTTCAGCAGATGTTGAGAATGACCACCAACATGAAATTTTTCACACCTTCTGACATTAAAAATTAAAAATTAATGGCACTTTACCTCAGTTTCCTTAAGATGCTTTGGATACAGGAATAACTTTATTGTAGTTATGTTATATTTGTAGCCTGACAGGTATAAATCTTTTTGAAATGCAGGGAATGGTTATGTCAGAAGCGAAGCAGCTGTAGTAATATTCCTGCAGAAGGCATCGGCAGCGAGGAGAGTGTATGCAACAGTAGTGAACGCTAGGACAAACACTGATGGTCATAAGGAGCAAGGCATCACTTACCCGTCTGGCCAGATGCAAAAGCAACTGATCAAGGAAGTGTACGCAGAAGCTGGAATTAACCCGGCTGATGTCGTTTACGTGGAGGCACATGGCACTGGAACCAAAGTAACCTTCACCTTCATCTTTCTTGTAACCTTGTTTCGGTTAATGATATGGATAATAACTTAGTCATATAGCTTCCTTCTGTACAGAGGTACTGTGGCCTTCAAACAGTATGAATAGACAATTGTCCTTGTGGGAACAACATCGCAGTGTGTACCAGGATGATAAGGCTGCCTAAGTACAGTATGGATTACAAGTCAGGCACATTGTGACTACCCATATTTTGCTTCAAAACCTGTCTGTCCAATCTTATTATCAACCTGAAGTGGTAGGAACAGAAGAGTTCTGTTTTCTGAGATGTAACGTCATGTAGTCCACTGAAAGTCAACTGACATTTTGGAGGAACGTGTCGCCTCCATATTCAGATTTTAAGAATAAAGCACGCAAGAAACCAGCAAGCTCCAAAACTTTCACTGGACTTCACAGTGTGATATCCCAGGAGATAGAACTCATATTAACCATTGCTCTCAGAATCTCAAATCCTATGAGGATTATTCCAAAGGCATTATTCCTTTTGTATAAAGCTCCATTGAAGACAGGGCAAGTGAATTTGGTGCTAAAGGTATCCTGATTCTGGTACAGAACCAATTCTTTTTCATTGGCTGTACAGCCCCCTTGGGCCTTGGCCTCTGATTTTTCAGTTTCATATCATTTTACAGATGTTAGGTCTCCTTGGAAGCATGATCAGCTTGTTGCAAGGCCTCTGCCTAAACACATAATAAACGCATACACATACCAAACTCTGCATTGTGTAGGATTTGATCCCACAATCCCAGCTTCTGAGGGAGTGAAGACAGTGCATGCCTTAGACTGCTCAGCTACCGTGACTGGCTCAAAACCATCATTACCTGACACTAAGTGTTGTCTAGGAACACATTGGCCTTCGTAACAATACAAGAGAAGTGAAACCATATCCAGTCGTTTGAAGTGTATTGACCTGTTCACATCAGAAAAATGAGCAGTACTATAGGAAAGCGCTACTCCCATGCAGAATTTGCTGATTTCCAGAATGCATTGCTTACTTATGTGTTTGTTAGTTTGTTACCCATACAAATATGTAATTTGCAAATCTAATTACATTGGAGATATTGCATTGTGTAATTGGAGGTTCCTTTTGATGTTATTTGTCTTATCATACTGAAAAACGTTTGAAATGATGGTTCTCGATTTGAATGTTGTGAGTATTGTGTACTGTTTACGAGTGAGTCTTTTTGGGAAAATGGATTTGAACTTCACGTAAAGTAGAGGTCGTATCATTACACACTAGAATTAAATTCACCTATGAGCTTCTGGTGTAAACTACCCAGTACAAAATTACAAAATTTCGTTTAAGTCTGCTGGGTCGTTTCATTTGTACCATCCATCCATCAGTAATCTGTCAGATGACAGGTCAGACGAGGGGGTTCATTTGTACACTTTATGTAAAAAACACACAAAACGTTTGTTTAAATGAGAATGACTTCTCTTGTTAGTATCTGAATAGAACGAGTGTAACTATAAGGAAGTCCATTGTGAGAAAACATATATTCATTATGATACTGCTCTCAAGTGAGAGATTTATAATTTGGAACATTATTAAATGTATTTCATTTTATGTACGATCTATTGAAAGACACTCCCAGTAACTCAGACAGTAACTCCTCAGGTGAAAGGGTTGGGATTAGAATGGACTTCTGTTCAGTAATGATGTTGGTTGTTTCTAATGAGCCTCAATCCAGTGACTGAGGTTGGCTCTCTCTGATGGACCCAACAGAGTAGTAGCCATCCACCCTTTCACCTGGGAACAGAAACAGATCTGGTTCCCAAAATGTCGTATTCTTTGGAGTACTGTTCTTCTGAGTACCGGATGAAGGACAAGGCCGAAAACTCAGTAATTGCCAGTTATTATACACCATCGTCAGAAGCCTTTAGAATCAAATTACCAGTTGAGAAAAATTGGTTTGTTTTTATTATCTCAATTAAAAGTTTTAAATTGGTAATCCTGCCATCTGATTTATGATTTTTTCTTGCAGGTTGGCGATCCACAAGAAGTAAACTCAATTGCAGATGTGTTCTGTAAGGACCGCACCTCCCCACTACTTATAGGCTCAGTGAAATCCAACATGGGTCATTCAGAACCTGCTTCTGGGATGTGTTCAATTGCCAAAGTGTTAATCGCAATTGAGACGGGTGTGATCCCACCCAATCTGCATTATCAAAACCCGAATCCAGAGATCCCAGCTTTGAGTGATGGTCGTTTGGAGGTAACTAACTAACTTCATGGAGCTGAGCTCTTGAGAAGCCACCAATTGTGCAACTGTTCAAGAACTCCCCAGCCTTTTATAGAACTTGAAGGTTCATTTCCGTGTTCACGAGAGCCCTCCACTGGTCCGTATCCTGAGCCAGATCGATCCAGGCCATACCATCCCATCCTGTCTCTCTAAGATCCAGTTTAGTATCCACCCACCTACAGCTTGGTCTTCCTAGTGGTCTTTTTTTCCCTCTGGTTTTCCCACCAATATCCTGTATGCATTCCTCTTCTTTCCCATTCATGCTACATGCCCAGCTCATTACATGCTCCTTGACTTGATCATTCTAATTATGCTTGGCGAAGAGTACAAGTTATGAAGCTTGACATTATACAATCCTCTTCACCCTCCCATCACGTTTTCTCTCTTGGGTCCAATTATTCTTCTCAGCGCCCTGTTCTCAAACACCCTCAGTCTGTGTTGCTCCTTTAATGTTAGAGACCAAGTTTCACACCCATACAGAACCACAGGCAATATTATAGTTTTTTATCTTCAAATTTTTACATTTGTAGACAGCAGACATGAAGGCACAAGGTTGAGGACTTAATGATAGCAAACGTTACCAAAATTCAGTCCCTCCTGAATCAAAATTTGGTTTGTTACTGTCATTCCCAAATATTTGAACTGTGCCACATTTTCAAAACATTTGTTAACTATCTTTATGCAGTCTGGTGACAAGATAAGCAGCATATACTTAGTTTTCTCTGCATTTATTTTTAGACCAATCTCCTTACTAGCATCATTTTCTGTGTTTTTATTTATGGTGCTTGTTTTATCACCAGGTAGATTTACATCATCAGCATAGACCAGCAGCTAATATGACTCATTTAATTTCAGTCCCACCTGGTTTTCCTGGGCCTTCCTAATGGCATATTCTAAAAGAAAACTTAAAAGCAGTGGCGATAAAGCATCTCCTTTTAGATCATTCTGGATAGGAAAATTATCAGATAAACATTACCTATATGGTCTTTGTTACATGTTTCTTTTAAACACATTTTACTCATCCTAACTAGTTTCATAGGTACCCAAAACTCTGTTACAGTATTGTACAATACTTCTGTCCGAACTGAATGATAGGCTTTCTTGAAGTATATGAATAGCTGATGTACAGTCTCATTGTACTCTCATTTCTTTCTTCAATATCTTACCAATGAAAAAAATCTGAGCCAGGGTAGTGTAGTTGGTATAGCGACTGGCTAAAGGCTGGATGACTGAGAGGTTGGAGTTCGAGTCCTGATAGGGTCAAGAATTTTCTCTTCTCCAAGTTGTTCATACCAGCTCTGGGGTGCACCCGACCTCCTATCAAATGGGTACTGGGGACTTTCCCCGGAGGTAAAGCGGCCCGGTGTGAAGCTGACCACTCACCTCCAACTAGTGCCGAGGTCAATAAAATGTGAATCTACATCCACACCCCCATATTCCTTCATGGTGTAGTGCATAATTCATCAAGCACAGGGACAGCTTTACCTTTTACCTGATCAGTAGTTGTTTTGTTACATTGAAACCCACACTGATGATCCCCAATAATTTCATCTATATATGGACTTAACCTTGAGAGAAAAATGTTGGATAAAAATTAGTATGAAGTTGATAGCAGTGATATCCCCCAGTAATTAGTACAGTCAGTTTTATCACTGTTCTTGTGAACTGTTAAAATAATATACTTCTTCCACTGATCAAGCAATTCTTCCTTATTCCAAGTAGAATTAATGAACTTTTGGATTTAGGACTCTAAATGTTTCACCTCCTGCTTGAATAAGTTCTGCCGGAATTTGATCAGTACCTGGCAATTTATACCTTTTCAATTTTATGATAGCAATTTCAACCTCAAAAGAACTAGGATCAGGTACTAACTCAACTGTATATGCTTCTGTCTGCCTAACGTCACTGACCCTGTGTACATTTAATAACTGAAAAGTAGTTCTTCCACCTATTCAAAATGTTGTGGTAATCTGCAAGCAGATCACCATTTTCATCCTTCATTAAGTTACTTGTAGGTTTGTAACCCCTGTTAAATTAATTTATTCCTCTAAAGAGGTCTCTAATGTTCCTCTTCTTACTGTTTGTTGCATGCTAATTAATTTTGTGCCATTTGGAGGTAAGTTGTATAAATCATGCAAATGAATGGAAAATTCAGAGATCTTTCCAATGGAACATTAGAGTTAACTTTGCTTACTGTCTTGCCACAGAATCTGTGAAATTTTGCATTGCCAATACCAGTGCATATCGGTGAACAGTATCCTGAGACAATTCAGTCCAATTGACCATTAAGAACACATGGTGAAGTTCCCATTTAATGTTTCTGAAGTTAAAGTATTTCCCTCATTTAATGTTCAGTTTCACTGATCACAAGTCTTTGACTTCAGTGTTGAATTTCCTCCGTTTATGAGTTTCCTCATGTCACTGTTCACGTCCATTGATACCCAAAGAAACCTTGCACAGTGGTTATACTGTAATTGTTTAAGATTCGTTTTAATGTGATATATGCCCTTAGTAGGTTGCACTAGTGTCAGTTGTAACTGAAATACACATTACATAATACCTCAGTTCTCAGCTTATTAGAAAAGGATGACTGTCCAGTTGGGTGAAGTAGAGAGATGCAGTATTTTAGGTTTTGACAGGAATTCCCTTGAAAGTTAGTTGTGTGTTTGTATTACATTATTTCTGTTTTATTTAGGTTGTAGACAAACCATTGCCTTGGAACGGAGGTTTGATAGCCATCAATTCATTTGGTTTTGGTGGTGCAAATGCCCACATCCTTCTCCGCCCCAATCCAAAACCAAAGGCTCCAGCTATTCAGGACAATATCCCCCGTCTGATAGCTGTCTCTGGCAGGACAGAAGAAGCTGTGAACTATTTCCTGGACAAGGTAAGGATCACTGTATGCATAAGCTGTTTGTGTAATTCACACACTGTACCTGATATTACTGTGTTTGTCGTAGCTGTTTACCAGCAGAACCCTGGCCTATGCTGTACAGGACTATTAAGCTTATTTTGGACTCAATCCATCATCTGGTATATAGAAGACAAAAAACCACGTTTCAGAGACTGGATCTGTCACCATCCTTAGGTGGATGGGCAGGATAAACCTACTCAGTTGAGCCTGTTAGAAAGAGCTAGTCTCAATCACTGGTCCAGTGAGGTCCAGAAGACTGCTTCTTTCATAAAAGGATAATTCTTTGTTCAGTGAAGTGACCTCTAGTGATATCTTTAACAGCTTCAGTACATGAATTAGGTGAACAGATTGAAAAATGTCCTCAGTAGCTGTAAATTTTGATACTTGATGCCACAATATAGCGACTAGCAACTGGCTGGACAATCAAGGGGTCAGAGTTTGAGTCCTGGTGGCATCAAGAATTTTCACTTCTCCATGTCTTTCCGACCAGTTGTGGTGTCCACCCAACCTCCTATCCAGTGGCCTTTTCCCTAGGGATAAGGCAGTTGGGGCATTAAGCTGACCAATCACTTCCAGCTAGTGCCAAGGTCAAAATGTGGGTCTATACATCCACTCCCCTGTATGCCTTCATGACATAGTGCTTGCTTAGTTAAATACAGGGTCAACTTTACGTTCTATGCCATCATAATCTTCATTTTCAGGTTGAGAACTTGCCACGAGATGATGACTTGGTAGGGTTGCTTCATGAGATCCACAGCAGCAACATCCTTGGCCATGGATATAGGGGTTACAGTATCTTGGGAGCCTCCACCCCTGTGAGGGAAGTTGCAGTAAGTTGAATCAGACTTCTGAGCAGATGGATGCACTTTGCTACGGCTATTACAATCTGTTGTCATGTTACACAATGCCGTATACTGCAGTTTATCACAACCTTCTCTCCCTTGTACCGATAACCATCTTGCAGGACCTTTGATTATAAATTATGTTTTTAGAGACAGTAGAAGACATTTATTTCGACTGATTATTCAACACCCATCAGTCAATTCAGAAGTATTTGGTTTGAAGGTAACTTGTCTTTTATGTACTTGTTAATCCTGTGGAGTAGCAATGAAAGTAGTAAAATGTACAGATATCTTCTTGGGCTATCAACCATGTTAACGTTGTGTTGAAACCAACATTTCAGAGATCTCCTCTATCTCCAGCATGACTCTGAAATTGACTCCGATGCTGGAGATGTGGTTTTCAACTCATCATTGACATGGCTGATAATCCAGAAGATTTTACTACATCTATTTGGCACTAAAGCTTCGAATCTTAGATAGCAATTATTGTGTTTTGGTACTGAAAGTCTTTGTTATGGTTTATTTTGCAGCAATGCAATGGGGAGAAGCGCCCAGTTTGGTTTGTGTTCTCTGGCATGGGTACACAGTGGGTTGGCATGGGGAAGGACCTCATGCAACTTGAAGTATTTGAAAAGGGAATCCGCAAGTGTGCAGAAGCACTGGAACCTGAGGGCATTAATTTGTATGACGTCATCTTGAGTACTGATGAATCAACGTTTGATAATGTTGTGAACTCGTTTATTTCCATTGCAGCCATTCAGGTAAACAATATTTATAATATGTTCACATCTCTAAAATTTTTCCTTGCATAATACAGATAGAATATTCGCAGCATTGTCTTTCTTTCGAGCTGGAACACTCCCTCTATCTTGTGATACTCTCTAAAAGCAATGTCAGTGGGTGGCTGTCTGTAGTACAGGGGTGTTCAGTCCTTTGATCCACTTTCTCAGAATACTAATTCCCACTGACCAGTTAGCAAGTTGTCCGATTTGTGTTCCCATACAACAGATTAGTCACTGCAGCTAAAATAAGTTCCTGATAGCAAAACCAGCCACTCAGATACAGAACAAGGTAATCAACAAAATGAAATATTTAATGTTCCACCTTGAAATTATGAGAACTTAAAATGTTTTGTTGTGTTACTGTTCAATAGTCTAGTTATTTCATGTTTTTGCTTGTACACACATCTTCCATATTTTGAGGTTTTGCTATAATCTGCAAATGGAAATGAGTAGTTTAGTGAGACTTTTTGACACATCAAGCCTTGAAGATGAAATTTATATGTCACTTTTCGTTCACTTCTATCTTTAATGCAGCTCTATTTACATTCTCTCCTTAATTTAAAGTAACATTAAAAATCACAGTCAACTGCCACATGTTTCGGCCTTGCTTGGCAATGCTCAGGCAATTGTTCACTTGTTGAAACTTTTACCTTGCATTAGTTACCATGTTAAAATATTCTAGTGTCATTACATTTTCATCATTCACATTAAAATATATTTGTTTGGGAACATAACTCTTTACCTTTCCCTGCACCACCACCCTCGTGCAGCGTCTTTGTTTTTTGTGTTGTTTTATTTAGCCCTGTGAATATTGGCATGGTGTTGTTATCGTTTCTGTTAGTACATATGTTCCCACTAGTCGAGTGTATATCACTTTTGTAAAATTTATAAAATCTTTTAACATACACAATTTTCATGTTTTCATGAATGGAAAAGTGTGCTTTGTTTTCATACATATGTTTCAAGTCTTCGTGATTTTACATGCTACAGTGGCTGCAATGTTCATTCATTAGTCTTCGCAATTGTCATTCTGTTGGTGTCTGCGATCTCCCCCTTTTACCTTCTGAATGCCACAACTAATATTTATAAAACCTGGTGTGCATATCATGGTACCTGAACCCATCTCAGTCGTGTACTTCATAAATCCCTCCCATCACTATGTGTGTACCCCCTATCGCTGCTAAACAACAGCTCAGTAATACTTTACTGTGGCAGCGAATACACACGCAACAATAGGAGAATAGTTGGACTCATCATTTTCTATGCAGTCTGTGTTGTATCAGAGGAAAGTAGGTTATTAGCTCTTCCCAGAATTTCATGTTGGAAATATATGTCTATTGTTACAAAAGTAATCAATGCAGGTACCAGATCGTGAAAAGACATTATTTTTTTTCTGCTTGTTAAACATTCTCCACATTTACACTTAAAATGCTGGCCTCAGAATGTAGCAGACAACTAGGCTTGAAACATGGTAGGCTGATGATTGTGGTGCAAGTATTTGAAACAGATGTTGTGGCTCTGAACTGGATCTGTATTTTGTCATACATAAAATTTTCTCACATGAGCCATTTTTGAAGCAATTGATTTAGTTTGATTTGATCTTCATGCATAACCTGTCTATTGGAGTGATACCAAACAGAATTAAACTCGCCTGTTTTTGTCCATGATATGTAAGCAATGTCCGTCTTTTAGTGCACTCAATTTTACTTGTTTTTACTTGTTTTTCACCTGTTTTTAATATATAATATTATTGAATCTGTTCCATAAATTTGCAAATGAAGCATGCAGGCATGCAAAGAACTTAAAAAATGATTCTAAAATGCGAAGAAAAAAAGATCATATCCAAAATCTGGATCTGGTAAAAGGCAGAAAAGGGATGTTTAAATCTTGACACTTGTCCTACTTTGCTCAAGTGTGTTACTCAATTGGTATGAATACTGGCTGAGCAGAGGGGATGTCTTGTTATGTAGGTTGCTCTTGTTGATGTGCTGAGCTCCATTGGAATCCACCCTGATGGCATAGTGGGGCATTCTGTAGGTGAATTGGGTTGTGCATATGCTGACGGTACATTCACAGCTGAACAGACAGTGTTAGCTGCCTACTGGAGGGGTCTCTGCATTCTGGAGTCCAAACTGCAACCTGGAGCCATGGCAGCTGTTGGTAAGTCTACAGTACTCTCCAGTGAACATGATCATCCTTTGAAGTTTACACCATTATGGGTCATTGGGAAAAGGTGTATTTGTCATATACCAGATGTTCCACTTTTATCTTTGTTCCTATTTACAAAATTTGTTTTGTTTTTCTACCTTCTCTTTGTTTCTCGACCTTGCACATGGCTTCCACAGTGCTCATGGTTTGAACATCATCATTTTAGATGCTTATAAAGATATCTTACCTTTGTCCATTGTTAACTTATGCCCTTACTTCTGTACCTTAATTTTCCATAGTAATGTGTAATGAAGTAGATGTATTTGATTAACCCTTATTTTGTTAAGCCCAAAGCTACAGATTATTTTCTAAGTATAGAGTGACAGTTACAAGAACGATGCACATGATCAAAGTAGAAATAGATAGACCTGAATATAAAATATTTTGAAATCTGGTACCATCTTTAGGTGTGTATTTTAATTACATGCAGTAGAAAATCAGCTTCTGATCATGACCCTGGTTAGATTGGTGAAGGCCAAGCAGGACCTGTTTCACTGGCTTAGTAAATCCAGTTATGGAAGACGGGTTTTACGTCACAATACATTCAGGTTTCTTGTTATTATTCATTAAAATGTTACTACAATGGAGTATCTGAAGGAGGTTGGTTTTTGGCTTATTTGCAACGTAAGTTTTCAGTTTTGCCATGACTCTGTCTATATGTCTGCACTTAACTTCTTGAGAACTGTCAATTATATCCTTAATGAAATTTAATATTGCAGAATTTTACTAAAATTTGTTGATGTTTACATTTTGATTAAAATTGGACAAACATAACAGATGCTTTACATGTGTTTCTGTTCCACATTTAAAGCGTCGCTCAGTAATGTATTTATTGGAGCAGAGAGTGTTTCAGACAGAAGTTGTGGAGGTTAAAAAAAAGAAGGCTAAAGCTATCCTTGTAACAGGCTGTGTATGCCCATAGGGTTGTGAGACATCGAGGTTTCCACATTTTCTAGACAGCTGGTTAACAAATGGCGGTAAGGTTGTCAACCTTATGCACTGGCCACCCTTTACACCCCAAGAAAATTCCTGGTACTCACTCCTGTTAGAGGCTGAGTCAACCCGAGGACGAAGGATTAAGTAAATTGAAAAAATCCAATGACCTCATCAGGAATCGACTGTGACCTTCCTACTTGTAGCATAGTGGTTGTGGAGGGTAACAAAACAAAAAAGGGAGTGAGTGCATCAGAATCGTTAAATTGTTAAGTCATTTCCTAACTTTTTGTAGTATTTTTTTGTCTTTGTTTCATGTTTTCATTATCCTCTTGCTTCAATTGAAGGCTGTAAATTTGTTCTCCAACTTTTCTTTCCATATTCTTTCCATTACTTCACTACGAAACCTGCCTCATAAGTCCTGATTAACCTGCATACATGTATCATTCCAATTACCTTGTAATCCATTCATGTATCACTTGAATGATTACATATCTGCCATATGTCATTGCTTCTTGTGTGGTCTCGTCTAGTTTTGCCGATTAATTTTTGTAATGAACTACTCACAAATACTGAAACCTGTTCTAGAAAACTCTTGTTCAATTATGTCAGTGTAAGTAAACTTATATTGCTGTATATTTGGGTTGTTTCACCCTTCAAAATTTCTTTTGTTTTGTCATGAATAAATCTAAAAAATATGACATTTTTGCTGAAAAGAATAGTTGATTTGGAAGGGATTGATGCTTAATTGTAGTTCTTTCATTTATTTTGTCTTTGTTGGGTGTAGTTTATGAAGTGAAAGTTATAATTAGGGTAACAAAATATGTATTTCCATTTTAGGTCTGACATGGGAAGAGGCAAAGAATCGTTGTCCACCTGAAATTGTTCCTGCCTGCCACAACAGTGCTGACAATGTGTCAATATCAGGCACTCCTGATGCTGTTGCAAAGTTTGTTAAATCTCTGCAGACAGAAGGCATCTTTGCAAAGGAAGTGAAGAGCTCTGGTGTGGCATTCCACAGCCGATACATATCGGATGCTGCACCAAAGCTCCGCAAGTACCTTGAAAGGGTGAGTTTCATTTCAGTCTGTCATATATCATATAGTTTAACGTTGATAATATTGTAGCATATAGACCCATTGCTAGGCAGCCACCAGTGTGCCAGTGTACTGGCTGAGTATCAATCACGTGGGAACCCCAACAAACATGAACGCAAGAATGGTAGAGCAACAGAGGAGCGGTGTTTTCTGTGTGATCCGTACTGAGATGTTATTTAGCAGGGACAAGGTTAGAGCTTGGTCAGTTAGTCTGGAAAGAGAGGACTTAATTTGGCAAGAGTTCAGTCAGTAAGGACGTAAGCAGACAGTGTTAAAATCCATTACTAGGAAACATCTAGGGAAGACAGAAGACTCTATGTGTGCTGTAGTTACAGTGATATTTTGAGTGTTTAATGTAGCCATCCGCCATCCTACAGATGCCACGACTATCGAGATAATACCTTTGTCCCGGGGATTCTGGAGCTACGGATACTGGGAGAGGAACACACTTTGGGGTTTATGAATTGTGGGGTCTCCAGAACCAACACCATGTATTACCGTTTTAAATTAAAATTGTGTACAGTGATTGTTGATCTTTACATTAGTGCTCCTTCAAGCTCGCCTCTCACTGTTCACTGTCATCATTACTTTTATTCACACCAATTTGCTCCCAGCTCACTGTCCATACGCACTACTCGGTACCTCCTCCTGTAGTTAGTTAGTTACTTAGTTATTGGAGAGGGTGGGTTTCCCCATGCACTGAGACCTGTATTGGTCCATTGTGCTTCCCTCTATGGTTTCTACCAGTCTCTATATCCTACCGGTACTGGTGCTTACCATCAGTCCCGCCCAGCCAGCGAGACCAGCTCTACTAGCTGAGAGGTATCTATTATAGGCCAACAGCTGTTTTGGTGCCGGGGTATTTGGAGCTGATTTCATATGAATTTGATGCCCTGAATTCAAATATGGCATTAGTTTTTGCCTAGGAGCTCAAATTTTTAAGATATAACATTTTGGTGAAATATACGTTACACTATTTTAAGTTAAATCAGTGGATCAAATAAAAAAACTCAACATGGAATTTTTATTACTATATTATAATTATATTTTTATTTTATTA